AAAAAAACCGCCGACGCCCACTGTGTGTGAACGGGCATGCAGCGATGGGCTCCGCAGACAGGAGGTAAGTGTGATCGTGTTTCAGCCGGCATAAACTGCAACGGTTCCAACCGGTACAGTTTATGCCGGCTGAAACGCCCCGTCTGAACGCACCCAGAGAGTGATCAGGTTTCTAGGTCTCAAGGTTACAAGAATTATGCTTAAAAGTGGGTAGATTTTGGAGGAGGAGAAGAACACAAGAGCTGCTCAGTAAGATTCCTATTTAGTGTTGCCAGGGCTGGGTTGGGAAATACCTGGAGATTTCTTTGGGGGGGTGGAGCCTGAGGAGGAGAGGGGCTTCACGGGGCTATAACGCCATAGAGTCCGCCTTCCAAAGTGGCCCTTTTCTCCAGGTGAACTGATCTCCGTCACCTGCAGATCAGTCATAATCCCAGAAGATCTCCAGCCTCCACCTGAGGGTGGCCAGTCCAGTGTTCCCTCTAAGCTGAGTTAGTGTGAGCTAGCTCACAGTTTTTTAGCCTCTGGCTCACAGATTCTTTTCTTAGCTCAGGAAGGAGGGCTCCAGAGCAAACTGATTTATGCAGCAGCCAAATCGTTCGCTCACAACTTTAATGCCAGTCGCTCACAGAGTAGAATTTTTTTCTCGCAAAACTCTACAGCTTAGAGGGAACATTGGTGGCCACCCCGTTCCCAGTACTTCAGGCTGGGACCTCTACTGTCCCTTAACTTATTTCCCTTCCTGTCCTCATAGCTGGCAGAAAAGAAAATTACACCAAGTAGTTTCTAAAAAGGTGCCCCGGTTAGTAATATAAGAGCTGGCACAGACTTGCTTCGTGTTTTTTAAAAAATGCATGCAAGTCTGAGAATCTGGCTGGGCTCTTTGCAGGATTTGGATCCGCTTGCGACAAGATGTCAATATTTATTTTCCCCAGTAGCCAGTAGACTGAAGCTAAATATGGCTGTAAACAATTGACAGCTTAGGAAGTAGTAATAAAGGACCTGGTGCCTGTAACGGTTTGGGAAGCTGGTTATCTAGGCAGCTCCGGACAGTGACTCTGTGGTAGAGCATCTGCTTGGCATGCCAAAGGTCCCAGGGGAGTCAGTCTCTGCCCTCTCCGATTATGGGACCTCTAGTTGGCTAGAAGGGCCAATGGTCCATAAGTTCCATCTGTAAGTGCTACTTGGGAGGGGGGACCCATAGCTCAATTGGTAGATCACCCACTTTGTGTACAGAAGGTTCCAGGTTCAGTCCCCGGCATCTCCAGTTCAAAGATCTCTGGCAGCAGGTCTTGGGGAAGATCAGCCTCAGACCCTGGGGACCTGCTGCCAGTCGGACCAAACAATACTGAGATCTGACATCTGCTCAAAGGCAGCTTCCTACGTAGGTACCTGATGTGCAGTAAATTCCTCTTACCCATTTGACCGGACAAGACAACTGTGTGACCCTGAAGACCCCAGGATAGTCTGATATTCCCTAGGGGCTCTTGTGGTCTCCTTAAATGGTCAGGTGTGTTTAAAACCATGTCTTGGTGTTAGATGGGTGGGAAGTCTATCATCTGAATCAACATATACAGTGTTGCATGGAGAAAGTAACCTGACTTGGATAGCCCAGAGTAGCCCGATTTTGTCAGATTTCGGAAGCTAAGCAGGTTCGGCTGGCCTGGTCATAAGAACATAAGAGAAGCCAATGTTGGATCAGGCCAATGGCCCATCTAGTCCAACACTGTCACACAGTGGCCAAAAATATCAGGTGCCATCAGGAGGTCCACCAGTGGGGCCTAGAAGCCCTCTCCCCAAGCACCAAGAATACAGAGCATCCCTTGTCCCAGACCGAGAGTTCCTATCTGTACCTCGGGTCTAAGAGCCACTGATGGACCTCTGCTCCATATGTTTCTCCAATTCCCTCTTGAAGCTGTCCATGCTTGCCACCTCCTGTGGCAGTGCATTCCATGTGTTAATCACTCTTTGGGTGAAGAAGGACTTCCTTTTATCTGTTCTAACCCGACTGCTCAGAAATTGCATTGAGTGCCCACAAGTTCTTGTATTGTGAGAAAGGGAGAAAAGTTCTTATTTCTCTACCTGCTCTATCCCATGCATAATCTTATAAACCTCGATCATGTCACCCTTCAGCCATCTTTTCTCCAAGCGTTTTAACCTTTCTTCACAGGGAAAGTGTTCCAACCATTTTATCATTCTAGTTGCCCTTTTCTGCACTTTTTCCAATGCTATAATATCCTTTTTGAGGTGTGGTCACCAGAACTGTACACAGTACTCCAATTGAGGTCACACCATCGATTTATACAGGGGCATTATGATACTGGCTGATTTGTTTTCAGTTCCCTTCCTAATAATCTCCAACATAGCATTGGCCTTTTTTATTGCAGTTGCACACTGTCTAGACATTTTCATTGAGTTATCTACTAAGCTTACTTAAGAGCCTTTGACGAGGAACTTTATCAAAAGCTTTCTGGAAGTCAAGGTAAACATCTATTGGGTCCCCCTTGTCCACATGTTTGTTCACTTCCTCAAAGAACACTTAATAGGTTAGTGAGACAAGATCTTCCCTTACAGAACCCATACTGAATCTGCTTCAATAGTTTTTGTTCATCAATGTGCCTACTAATTTTTTCCTTAATAACAGTTTCTACCAACTTACCCGGTATCGACGGACAGACTGACTGTCCTGTAATTTCCCGGATCTCCTCTGGAACCCTTTTTAAAGATGGGAGTGACATTAGCTACGTTTCAGTCCTCAGGAAGGGAGGCAGATTTTAAGGAAAGATTACATGTTTTTGTCAGGAGATCCACAAGTTCACATTTGAGTTCTTTCAGCACTCTCGGATGTGTGCCATCCGGGCCAGGTGATTTATCAGTTTTTAAGTTGTCTACCAGTCGTAGGACCTCCTCTTTCGTCACCTCAATCTGACTCAGGTGTTTGGAAGGGAGACCACCAAAGAATAGCAGGTCGTGATGCGGAGGCAGGCAATGAAAAACCACCTCTAAAATCTCTTGCTTTGAAAACCCCAACGGGTTGCCATAAATCAGCTGTGACTTGTCAAATTAAAAAAAAAATGGGGGGGGGGGAAGCAGATAGTGGGAACTCTTTTCTCCTTGCCTTATAATACTAGAACTCAGGGGATGACCCAGTGAAGCTTCAGAACCCACAAAAGGGAGTTCAGACTCACAAAGAAAATTCTTTCTTTGCATCATGCATAATTAACTTCTGGAAGGCACTACCATAAAATTGAAAGATGTCCCTAAGGGAGATGACTTTATAAGGGGACAACATAAATTCCTGTAGGACGGGTCCATAAGACTCGGAATAAAAATTACCTGATGGGGCAGTTGTGGGAAGGGCTGCTTGCCTTCACACAGGCAGCCAGTTTGGTCTAGTGGTTAGGAGCACCGACTCTACTCTGGGAAAACCAGGTTTGATTCCCCACTCTCCCACATGCAGCTGCTGGAGTGACCCTGGGTCAGTCACAAGTTCTCTCAGAGTTGTTCTCTCAAGAGCAGTCCTCGAAAGAGCTCTCTCAGCCCCACCTACCTCTGTTGTGGGGAGGGGAAGGGAAAGGAGATTGTAAGCCGTTCTGAGACTCCTTTGAGTAGTGAAGGGCAGGGTGTGCATTCAACCTCTTTTTTTCTTCACGTCTTCCTTGAGGGCTTCCTGGCACCTTCTGGTCGAAAGCTGGGGAAGGTGGACACCAATTTGATCCAGCAAGCCTTTCCTGACGCTCTTAACACCTTTTAGCTGTTCGGTGACTGTCCTTCCCCATTCCTGCCCCACCCACACCTGCGACTGAAAAAGTTGGTAGGATGTCAGCGGGTCAAGTCCTGGCCTCTTAATTCCAGGTTCCCTGTCTAGGCAAATAAAGAATATTTAACTTAGTTTAAGATGATGAATTGTATTGTGAACGGCTTTGGGCCTCAAGGAATGGGACTGCCTGCCATCTTCCTCGGCCTAAATGTCTTGCAAAGGTCCCTGGGTTGTTCCGCATGGTTGGGGATGAGTTAATGTTTGCTCCCCCACCCTTTCTTGTTGGGAATGTTGCATTATAAAATTCCAGCCGACCTGCGTATGTATTTTGCCCAAGGGATCCAAAAGTATGCCAGCAACGCAGTAAGTCGGGAAGATGGTGGCCCTTTCCTAGTCTATCTGTACGGTGTTGCGACAGTGTAGTGTGGCGGGTTAGTACCTTTGTGTTGCTTTTGGTGCCATAAATTGCAAAACCCAGTTTTTATAGCAGGGATCCCCAACATGGGGCCCGTGGGCGGCATGGCACTGCCAACACCTTTCCTGGGGCCTGACACATGTTTTTTTCCAAGTGGGTGGGGCTTTTGGCCAGGAAGGCTTCTGATTGGCCATTAGAGGTTTGATAAGCTATGCAGATTTTTAAAAAATGTTGCTTCGGCAGCAACTGCCACCGCAGCACATGGATCTTCACTGCGCTTGAAGGTACACTGCAGCAGCCATTTTGTGGTTGGCCCCGCCTCCTTCAGCAGCCATTTTGTGGCTGCACCTAGAAGAAAAAAAGATTGGATTTATACCCCGCCCTTCAGTCGGAGTCTCAGAGCTGCTTACAGTCTCCTTTCCCTTCCCATCCCCACAGCAGACACCCTGTGAGGTAGGTGGGGCTGAGAGAGCTCTTTCGAGCTCTTTCACCCTTGGGAGGACAGCTCCGAGAGAACTTGTGACTGACCCAAGGTCACACCAGCAGCTCCATGTGGAGGAGTGGGGAATCAAATCCGGTTCTCCCGGATCAGAGTCCGCGCTCTTAACCACTACACCAAACTGTCAGAATTCCAAAGGTGCATGTGGGCTCAAAGGTCGGGAACCCCTGTTCTACAGACATGGCTGTATTCTTACTGGGCTATTAACAGCCTGGGGATGGTGGTGTGCTAAGAAGGAAGGTTCTAACCTAGCATTCCTCCTGACATGTTGGGTTGGTTGATGTTGTCTCGGTAGGGCAGCCTACCGAGGCGAACCACACAGGTCTGAAATCAGCCTGTCTTTGGTCTGAGTATTGTATGTACACACGCTAGCAGTACTGCCATATTGCATTAACGATTGCTGTGCCATTAGCTTTCTCCCCCCCTGCAATCCTAGTATGTACTTGCCTGTGCTAGCAGCCTTGTTCCAGACTTGTTCGGTCACGTAAACCAGAGGAAGGACCAACCTCAAGGGCATGTCCTAGATTTCTCATTCTCCGGTGCCAAAAAAGTGCAGCCGCACCTTGAGAATTTCAAACAAGCGAAGCAAAAAGGGGCATGGCGGAATCACAAAGTGTTTATTGTGCAAGCGATCTTGGTGTAGTATCCAGAGTACGCTTAATCTCAGACCTTGCTGGGAGTATTTGTTTTTCTTTTCAACATCCCGTTGGCCCTCCTCTGAGTTTATTGCGCAACTGTCGATGGAGAGGTGATCTTACTTTGCGATAAGCGGGTGTTCACAACTGTGGTGTGTATTGTTGGGGGGAGGAGTAGAAAGCAGGTGAGGGATTTTGGCTCTTAGAAAGATAGCAAGCGGTTACATGGGGGGGCCGGACCTCCTGCTGCTTTTGCTCATCTCTTGGGAACAGTAGTGCAGGGACGGAAAACTGGGCTTTGGAAGGGCTGTACCGTCTGCCAAGTTTGTTCATCTGAACGGTAGTGCAGGAAAAAAAATGGACTCTGCAAATGACAGAGTATGTTTTAAGTCCTACACAGTGGTTTTTTTAAAAAAAAGATCCTTGGGCATGGAATGGTAAGTGTCTGGTTACTAGGGGAAGGACTTACCACATGTAGCATCTGCTCCAGTTTTTTTAGTTACCCCCGCTGGCAATGTGTCACCAACCTCCCTTCGTGACGTCAGTAGTCACCTTTCCAACTACACTGCCTCCTCTCTAACTTGATTCCCAGGTTTCTAAATCATTGGCTGCAGTTTGTTTGGGACAGAGAGGTTACCCGTGGCCTCAGGCAAGCTACAGTCACAATCAGAGGGAAAAAACTGGGGCTAGTAAGACTGACCTGACCTAGGAAGTGACGCCTGAACTCTGCCTAGGAGCTAAAGGTGACTGAACTTGAGTACTAAACAGTACTCTGGTCACATTGTGAGAAAACGAGACACACTGGGAAAGACAGTGATGCTAGGAAGAGTTGAAGGCGGCAGGAAAACAGGAAGACCCAACGTGAGACGGGTTGATTCTATATTTATTTATTTATTTTATTTGACTTATACCGTGTCCTCCTCGCCGAAGCAGGCTCAGGGCGGCTTACAAGGCCATTGGCAATAAAAACATTAAAACAATAATCATAAAAACACAATAGTATCAAAAATATAAGGTGCTGTATATGGTAGGATGGCAGGAACCGTTTTGGGTTAAAGAGCCTAGCTTACTTGGTTGATGTTAACCCGTTGGCTCGAACGCTTGGCAGACGACCTCCATCTTGCAGGCCCTGCGGAATTGTGGTAGATGCCGCAGGGCCCCGGTGTCCTCCGGGAGCTCATTCCACCAAAGCGGTGCTGTTGCCGAGAAAGCTCTGGTCGTGGCCAGCCTGGCACCTTTCAGGCCGGGGAGGAGATTTTATGATCTAGAATGCAGTGATCTCTGGGGAACTTATGGGGAAAGGCTGTCTTCAGTTTGCAAGACCTGAGCTAGGCTCTTCATGATAGGACATTTTGGTGGTTGTTAGGGCTATTTTTGGGCAGGAACACACAGGAAAGGAGATCCGGCTGGCTCCTGAGTTGGCCACGCCCAGCAGGAACTCATTAGTATAATAGGCCACACCCAACAGCAGAAACTCATTAGGATTGGCTACATTAGGGGTGTGTGGCCTAACATGCAAAGGAGTCCCTGCTACAAAAAAGCCCTGGGTTTTGACAATAAACAAGGTAAACAGAATAACAAGCAAAAGGTGGGTGTGGCTGGATAACCACACTTCTGGTAACATGGGGGTGCGGCCTAATGTGCTAATGAGCTGTGCGGTCAGGGGTGTGGCCTAATAGGCTAATGAGTTTCTGCTGTTGGGTGTGGCCTATTATGCTAATGAGTTCCTGCTGGGCTTTTTCTACAAAAAGAGCCCTGGACTCGTTGTTAATCCATAGGGTCATCATAAAGCGACTTGACAGGGCTTCACACACCGACAGGACTGACCTACTTAACTGAGTTCATTGGAAGGATTACGGAGGTGCTCCGGACACGAGGTGCTTTTTAAATGCGGAGTTGCTAAACAAACTCTCGCAATGTGCGCTTAATTGGTAATGCGGCCTTCCCCTCTTCCTTAGGCTTATCATGCTCACGGTGTTCCTGCTGCTGATGTGTGGCATCGGAGCCAGCTGCGTGAAGTTTTGTTGCCGCAAGAAGAGGCCCCCCGTGCAGACTTTCCCGCCGCAAGCCCATGACCTCACTGCCATCCCCATGGACCACGACAGCACCGCCCACAGCACTGTCACATGTGAGTACATGAAATCCCGTCACTGGGCGGTCAACAGTGTTGCTTCCAGCATTCAAAATGAAATTCTGGAAACTGGGAAAGGCCAATGTGTTTGCCAGCCACAGTGAGCCTTGGAGATGAGTTGGATTAGCATATGTCAGGCCAGGGGTTGTTTCGTAGAAAAAGAGCTAGGGGAACTCAGTAGCATAACTCATTAGAATATGCCACACCCCCTGACATCACCGGAAGTGTGTCATAAGGCCACACACCCCGCCCCCAACGGTCCCGGCCGCCACCGCCGGCCTTGCAGCTCCACTGCCGAGCCCCAACCTGCAAGGCCGGCGGGAGTGCAAGGAAGCCCCGCGAAGGCCCTCCCTGGCCCCAGGCAGGCAGGGGTGGGGAGAGGCAGGGAGGAAGTAACTTACCCTCCCTCTTCTCCTGCCTCCTCCTGGCTGAATGAGGGCTGGAAGCGGGGTGGCCGGAAGCAGGGGGCGGGGCTTCGTCATGTGCTCCACCCCCCCGTACCTCACCCAGGGGAACTGCGATCCCCCGCGATCCCCCCCGAAATGACCTCTGTGTCAGGGCCCCCCAAACTTTTTTAGCCTGTGGGGACCTTCGGAATTTCTGACGAAGTGTGGAGGACGCAAAATGGCAGCGGCAGGGGGCGGGGCCAGCCACAAGGTGGCAGCGGCAGGGGGCGGGGCCAGCCACAATTTGGCTGTTGCTGCTTACCTTCAGTCACACAGAGTATCTTTAAACTCTGGTGGCAGCTGCTATCAAAGCAAGTTTTTGAAAAATCTGCACTGTAAATCCAATCTCCAGTGGTTAATCAGAAGCCTTGCTGGGCCAAAGTCCCACCTGCCATTGCTCAGGGCTCTTTTTACAGCTGTAGAAACATGGGGACAAGTAGGATTGGTGCTTGGGCTGAAGGACTGAAACCCTCTCTTCTGGGTTTGGTTGCCTTGTTGCGTAATAGACCTAACAGAACCTGTGGGCTACCAGCTCGTGGCAGCCCATCTAAATAATGCTGACAAGCAGCAAGGGCTAGCTCAGCGATAGGTCATGTGCATCTTTACATGTGGAATATTTCAGTTCAGTCCTTGACACTGCCAGTTAAGGAATCCTAGGTAGCAAGCGCTTGGGAACCCTTGCTAGGTGGTGGGCTCTCCTTCCTTGGAGGTTTTTAAGCAGGGGCCTACATGGCCATCTGATAGCAATGCTGATTCTGTGAAGTTAGGCAGATCATGAGAGGGAGGGCAGGAAGGGTTGTATCAGTGCTTAGTTCTTGTGGCCCTTTCTTACACGCCCAGGGATATGCTGATCGCCACTTTGGGGTCAAGAAGCAATTTTCTCCAGGCCAATTTGGCCAGAGATCCGGGAGGGTTTTTTTTTGGGGGGGGGGGGTTGCCCCATCTTCTGTGCATGGAGCAGGGGTCACTGGGTGTGTGTGTGTGGGAGAGGTAGTTGTGAATTTCTCGCACTGTGCATGGGGTTGGACTAGAGGACCCTGGAGAGCTGCTACTGGTCAGAGTAGATAGTACTGAATCCATGGTCTGGCACAGTATAGAACAGTTCAGTAAATACTTACATTTCCTCCCTTTTTTTGCCAAACTGAAATATAAGACCTGTACTAAGACGCAAATAGTGCAGGACTTTGATAAAAGTGGTTTAAAAATCCCAGCAGAGATAACTCCTGATGGAGACAGTGTGGTGTAATGGTTAGAGGGCTGGGATACAATTGTAAAGGTCCTGGGGTTCAGATCTCGATTTGCTGTGTGACCATGGGCCAGATAAATCCTCTTAGCTCAGACTCCCTCACAAAGTTGTTTCGAGTTTAAAATGGGCAAGGTGAGACCAGTGCAGGAGATCTTGATAGAACCATCAATGATGAGCCTATCTCTTAGAGTTCTCATGGGATGTTTGTCGTGCTAATATATCAAATGAACGTGGTCTTGTGCTTTCTCTCTTCAGCATATAGTTCCATACAGTATCCTCAGAGCATCCCGCTTCCTCTGTCCTTCAGGGAGATCGACAGAAGTCTTATGAGTCCTCCAGCATACAGTCTTTATGCCATAGAGTTGCCGCCATCTTATGATGAGGCCATCAAGATGGCGAAGCCCTGCATTGAGTCTTCAATGACTGGCCAGGAACAAGACAAGAACGCCTCCCGGTGGGTGGCTCGGAAAGAGCCAGGCGAGCTCCAGTCGGTAGCTCCGGAAGAGCCAAACCAGCTCCAGTCGGTAGCTCCGGAAGAGCCAAACCAGCTCCAGTCGGTAGCTCCGAAAGAGCCAAACCAGCTCCAGTCGGTAGCTCCGGAAGAGCCAAACCAGCTCCAAACTTTGCCGGAGATGTCAAGCAGCAGCCCTGAGACAGTACACCCAGGTTCACAGCTTCCAGAAGCTTCTACACAAGGACAACCAGAACTTTAGCCCCTTGTTGTGGAGCCAAAAGAGAGTGAAGTCACTGAGAACTACTAATGGTGTTAGAAGTTTGGTCACGTGTACTTGGTTAGTCTGAAGAGAGACCCAGTTGTCTGCCTCAAAGCAGTGATCCACTGTGTGGGAGAGTTGTCTCTTGTCGCCTTTGATAACCTTCTGTTGCTGCTTTAAGGGTGCCAAGCGAAATGTTGTGACAGCTGGTTAAAAATACCCTCTGTGGGTGAGAGATGGTTTGTGTCAATCTCCTCAAGGCGCAGTGTGGGGGGAAAAAACAATGCTGTTGTCTTCCATGGCAGTGGTGGAGGGGGGGGGCATGAGGAGAGAGAAGAGCTGCTTCACGAGAACTGTCTGAGGGGAATGGCACAAAATGGCCGCCAGCTGGCCCTAAACAGAGATTGACAGGGACAGTTTTCCCTCATGGCGAGATGAGAGAGAGAGAGAGAGAAATACAAATTGACATCTCCTTCTTCTGAGAAGAATGAACTGTCCAGCAAATTGCTGAAGTACTTGAATTCGTTGCTGTGTAACGACAAACTGCCTTGGACTTGAAAGGAAATAACAGCTGGACTTGGACCTGTGTGTTACGAATTAAGTTGGACAAATCTGTGAGGGAGGAAATCTAGCAACGCCTTGCTAGGCCTTCATGAGCATGTCTACTTCGTTGTACTGATTTATTTTTCTCGAATAATAAAGCATACTTTTCCTACGAAATATTAACATGGTGCATCATGATTGTCATCAGTAGAAGAAGATGCCCATTCCATTTGTCCTTGTATTCAGGGACAGCAGTGGGGTTCTGGAATCTGGGGCTTTGTAAGCCATTCTCCATGTTTTCTTCTGGACACTTTTTGTTGATGCCGGATGCCTTTTCAAGCACCATCCCAGGAACACTGCTCCACATGCTTTATCCTCACACATAAATTACATATCGCAGGCTCTGATCATAGATCTCCAATGTTACGGTGTTGATTGGCCTACAGTGTATTTGTGCCTATATTGATGGTGAGAACTCCTCTACCCTTCCCATTCAGTTGCTGAGGGAGATTTAAAGATGTGCAAAGGCTAGAGAGCAGCCGGGAAGTTACTATTTGTGGTTGCTGTTTTGTATGTTAAACCTTCATCTGAACAGGCTATGGGTTTTCTTTAAGCCAGAGCTAGGGATGCCAGCCTCCAGGTCTCCCAAAATGAATTTAGGCAGGTCGCAAGAGGGAGGGCTGCATCAGTGCTTTGTTCTTGTGGCCCTTTCTTACACACCCAGGAAAATGCTGATTGCCACTTTGGGGTCAGGAAGCAATTTTTCTCCAGGCCAGTTTGGCTGGGGATCCTGGAAAGTTTTTTTGTCATCTTCTGGGCGTGGAACAGGGGTCACTGCAGGTGTGGAGGGGGAGGCATTTGTGGATTTCCTGCACTGTGCAGGGGGTTGGACTAGATGACCCTGGAGGTCCCTTCCAACCCTATGACTCTATGGCATTGTACTCCACTGAGGTCCCTGTCCTCCCTAGGCTCTATCCCCCAATCTCTGGCAGTTTCCCAACCTGGAGATGACAACCTTAGCTCCCCGTTTCCTGCCTGTGGCCAGGGAGGACCTGGCTACCCTTTCTGGGGCCAAGGAAGGTGATCATTAGAGCACCCCCCCCCCCAACCATTTTAGTTTCTGTGTGGCAAAAAGAGGGGCCAACCAGATCTGCTTCAGGTAGTACAGTTCTGCTTATCTGTACAGGCAGGGGTTATGCTTTTTTCTTCAGCATCTTCCGCTCTAAACACAGAAATGGAGCAGTGCCTTTTCCGAGTCATTGTTCCACAACCCCTATCAGGTGCCTCTTTGGAAGCCCTGACCAGACTGGACCTGTGGGGCAAAATGTCAAGGGCCTGCGGGAGGCTTTCCCTGAGCCAAGCCAACTTTCCACGTTTCCCCACAGCAACTTGCAGGTTTAACAGCTCAGTGGAAAAGGTTATCTGAGAATAGCATCAATTGCCTGTGAGTGTGGTACAGCCCCTATCCGCCGCTTGTGTTTTCCCCAGAGAGCTCCAGTTGCGGATGAGGGCCTAGCTGGTATTTCACATTTTCCCCCTTCTCAGGTAAGGAGAATTTCCAGTGCTCTCAGCGATTGCGTCAGTCAGAGGGGGAAAAATACAACTCTGGTATTTTCCAATGACAGCCCTCCATCCACGCTAGCGGCTGTTTTTTGTGGCCAGTGCTGGGAGCCCTGATGAAAAATTTACCTGGCGCCTCCTTTGTAGTGTTATCAAAAGCAAAATTTGGAATGCGTTTTAAAATACGTGGGGTTTTTTGTTAAGAATCGTATGTATTCAAAGAGTCTTAGGAAGCTCTCTCTCCTGCATGCTCGAAGGACAAAGGGAAACAAGCTTGTGTTACAACTTGGTGGTTGTGATCGCGGTCCAAAACATTCCCCAACTAGAAATGTGCAGAGGTGAGAGAAATGGGCAGTGGCGTCCCTGTTTCCTGAGTCCATCAGGTTCTCTAGCAGCAAAAGGATCAACAAATGTTCAGTATTGGTGCTTTCTCAGTAGTGATGCCAGAGTTATGAAGACCCTTCCCAGGGAGGTCTGCTTCCTGATAACGATGTGTGAAAGACCTTAAAATTAATCTCAATATATGGGTAATTGTGGGTCTTTCCCCCCTGTCTTTGTCCTCACCCGGAACTGAACTACTGCTGGCTTTTAGGTGTTAAGAGGGAGAGAAACCATTTCTTCCTTCTCTGTCCCACCAACCTTTGGTGGTGGTCAGAGTTCCCTCTAAGCTGAATTAGTATGAGCTAGCTCACTGTTTTTTAGCCTCTGGCTCACACATTTGTGTCTTGGCTCAGGAAGGAGGGCTCCAGAGCAACCTAATTTATGCAGTAGCCAAATCACTCGCTTGCAACTTTAGTGCCAGTAGCTCACAAAGTAGAATTTATGCTCACAAGACTCCACAGCGTAGAGGGAGCATTATTTATTTACTTTCCTGATACTCTGCCTTTCTCACTGAGATTTATGGTTGCTGGGAAGTACCTGGAGACTTGGAGGGTGGGGTATGGGAGCTGTCAAGATCTCGGTCTTATAGGGGTGCGGCCTTAGGGTTACCAAGTACCTACCTACGAATCGGCGGGGGACACATGCTTCCCCTCCGGAACATTCATGCGTGTAACACGGCCGCGTCACACTGCCGCCCTGAGCCGTTTGGATAGGGCGGGGTATAAGTCCCAAAATAAATATAAATAAATAAATAAATAAACTATCCTGTCGCCCAGACGTGACGTAAGCCCGCTGGGCATGTAGCCGGGTGATGCTCTGGCAATGGGGCTGGAAACTCTATGGTACCATCGAGTTTTCAGCCCCATTGCCAGAGCGTCGCCCGGCTACATGCCCACGTCATGTCTGGGCGACAGGATAGTGCAGCGCCTGTGTTTTCCCCGTGGGAATGTTCCCGCCAAGAACTATACGTCCCCCGCCATTTCGCGGTAAGTACTTGGTAGCCCTATGCGGCCTGCAGGCTCTAAGGAGGCCTAGTGGCTCCAGCGAAGCCTGTATTGGAGTAGCTGTCAGGGCCTACATTTCCCAGGTATCCTCTGGACTCTGGGATTGGCTAACGGGATTTGGAGGGAAAACTTACACCAGCAGAGGAGAAGGGGGTGGTGCCTGGGAAAAAGGAACAAAAGGCCTTGCCCAAAGTGGGAGGGGGTCCACTCCCAGGAAGCAGGGCTGGTGTGAGGCCGCTGCAGAAGGAGGGACCCCTCATCCAAAGGGGGTGAGTCATCTTGAGGCCAAATACCTAGAGAAGGCTACATACAGTATAGTCAGAAGCAATGTTCCCTCTAAGCTGTGGAGTCTTGTGAGCAAAAATTCTACTTTGTGAGCTCCCGGCATTAAAGCTGTGAGCAAGCAACGTGGCTACTGCATAAATTAGTTTGCTCTGGAGCCATCCCTTCCTGAGCTAAGACAAAAATGTGTGAGCTGGAGGCTCAAAAACTGTGAGCTAGCTCACACTGACTCAGCTTAGAGGGAACCCTGGTCAGAAGCATTAGGGTTTCTTGTTTTGCTGGTTTACCTACCTTCACTGTGCTCAGTTTTCCTGTCCATCATTGAATTAAAGTTCTTGTTAAGTCTCATTAGTAAAAACAGTCTGTTACTCTGGCTGGGTCCTCACACCTCCTTTGGTTATTGAGAAGAAGTGGTTGGACTTATACCCCGCCCTTCCCTACCTGAAGGGGTCTCTGAGTGGCTTACATTTTCCAGGCGTTACCCAACATGGAGCTGGCAACTCCCTCCCTCCACCCCTTGCTGGTGGCCAGGAGGGACCAGGCAACCCTGTCTCCAGGATCTTGGCTGGAGGTCGTTCACGTCACCTAATCCCTGCTCCTTCTAACTGGAGGGCCTGGGGATTGAACCTGGGACCTTCTGTTCGCCAAGCAGATGCTCTACCACTAGGGCTGCGAAGTGGGGGCGGGGGGCGGGTAAACCCCTGCTTCAGAGGCCCGATTTCTGCCGCCACGGAATCGGGCCCCAGGGGTAACTCCGCCCCCCGAAGCACCAGAGGTGACGCAACCACATCAATCATGTTGGGGGCGTGGCCACGCGTTCAATGTGATGGATGTCGTGCGTCACTTCTGGTCATGTGCTGACGACGTGCACGCGTCGAGGAACGGCTCTCAGAGCCCGGCGAGGCTCCCCCGCTGGTAGGATATTTTTATTTGGCAACCCGATCTACCACTGAGCCGCAGCCCGCTCCCTCTGTTAAAACACCTTGGGTGTCACGCATGGCGAAAGATCCCTCTTTCCTTAAGACCCTGGAGAGCTGCCTCTGTTCTGAGCAGGCAGCCCTGAGCTCGATTTTGTAATCTTTTGACTCCTAATAAGATTACCCAGTATCAGTGTTCCCTCTAAGCTGAGTTAGTGTGAGCTAGCTCACAATTTTTTTAGCCTCCAGCTCACACAGATTTTTGTCTTTGCTCAGGAAGGAGGGCTCCAGAGCACACTAATTTATGCAGTAGTGGAATCGCTCGCTCATTACTTTAATGCCAGTAGCTCACAAAGTAGAATTTCTGCTCCCAAGACTCCACAGCTTAGAGCGGGGGTGTCAAACATGTGGCCCGGGGGTCGGGTAAGGCCCCCCAGAGGGCTTCCATCAGGCCCGCAGTGGAACTGGCCATCTTCTGTTCCCAGTTCTGCTGCTGCTGCATCAAAGCTTGCTTCGCCAGACTCTCTTAATCACTCAGCCATTTCATGTTTTAACCTGGATCCTAGACTCAGAACTCTGAGCCTGAGATCTCTGTGGTGAATGTCAATAAATCAAAAGTAGGTTTGCAGCTTACAGAGCTAATGTTTTAAGCATGTTTTTATTTTAAGTAAAAAGAAATCTTTGTGTTTGTGCCCTTTATAAAGTTTATATCTTCGCTACCTGGCATTACATTTTATGACACACATGGCCTGACCCGACAAGGTCTCATTTATGTCAGATCCGCCCCTCATAACAAATGAGTTAGACACCTCTGGCTTAGAGGGAGCATTGCCCAGTATGTGGTGTTAATGCCACTCGCATTCAAGAGTGACCCGTCCTTGCTCTCTTCCTGTCCCCCTCTTGACTCACATTTGTGTTAAAAATTTGTGTCTTCCTTTGTGGAATCCCTGATAAAATGGCGCTGGGTGGGGGAGAGTGTCTCTTAATAAAATTAAGCCACTCTTAACCAAAGCTAAACTGCCCACCTACTTGCTCTCGTTTTCCAAACGTGATAATTTGGAACAGGGCTATTTTTGGACAGGAACGCACAGGAACGGAGTTCCGGCTGGCTCCTGAGTTGGCCACGCCCAGCAGGAGCTCATTAGCATAACAGGCCACACCCAACAGCAGAAACTTATTAGAATTGGCTACATTAGGGGTGTGTGGCCTAACATGCAAAGGAGTTCCTGCTACAAAAAAAGCCCTGGGTTTTGACAACAAACAAGGTAAACAGAATAAGAAGCAAAAGGTGTGTGTGGCTGGGGGACCACACTTCTGGTAACATGGGGGTATGGCCTAATATGCTAATGCACTGTACTATCAGGGGTTTGGCCTATTATGCTAATGAGTTCCTGCTGGGCTTTTTCTACAAAAAAAGCCCTGATTTGGAACATAAAAACCATCCGTGCTACCCACTTGGGTTGGTTTTAATATATTTAACAGCCAGGGCTTTTCCCAGTGCATCCTGGGAATTGACGTTGGATA